GCCAGGCGTTGGTGGCACACACCTTTAACCCCAGCACTCAGGAGGCAGAGGCAGGCGGATCTCTGTGAGTTCGAGGCCAGCCTGGTCTCCAGAGTGAGTGCCAGGATAGGCTCCAAAGCTACACAGAGAAACCCTGTCTTGAAAAACCAGAAAAAAAAAAAAAAAAGAATATGGTGTTTTGAATAGGAATGGCCCCCACAGACTTGTGTGTTTGAATGCTTGGCCCATAGGGAGCGGCACTATTAGAAGGCCTGGCCTTGTTGGAGGAAGTGTGTCACTGTGGGGGTGGGCTTTAAGCTATACCCAGTGTGGGACATAGTCTTCTGCTGCCTGTGGATCAAGATGTGGAACTCTAGGCTCCTTCTCCATCACCATTTGCCTACACGTAACAAGCCACCGTGATAATGGACTAAATGTCTGAAATTGCAAGCCAGCCCCAACTTAATGTTTTCCTTTGTAAGAGTTGCCGTGGTCATGGTGTCTCTTCACAGCAATAGAAACCCTAACTAAGACAAGGAACCTGACACTTAGACTGGAAAGGTGTAACCAGAGCTCCAAGGAGATACAGAATTATGGGAAACGGGAACATTTCAAGGGGGAAGGATGAGGAAGAGAAGTGGCTGAGGCTCCTGCAAAGCCAGGGATAATTAAGTTTTCAGTGGATGTACTAAGGAAGAAATCAGAGCCTTCTGGGGGTGATTTCTGGGAACTGGCGGGCCAGGGGCCAGGCTGCAATGGATAAGGAATGTGTGAAGGGTAAGGAGAGAGAGGTGAATGTAGTAAGTCTTTTCAAGGCAAGGAAGAAGGCAGGAGGAGCAGCTTGACCATGCTGTGTCCATCCATGGGAAACTGTAATTGAAAAATATTCAGGACAGCGAAGTCCTTGGGTGGCAGGAGGGACTGGGGTCCTAACCAAGTTCCAGTGAAATATATTAGACCTTAAGGATCTAAAAAGATGTCCTCCATAGTAAAAACAACTGGAATGGTTAATTTGATGGCAGAATTTTTGAAGACAGGGTAGTCACTCAGCACGTAGCAATTCCTTAGTAAATATTAGATGATTAAGTTGTTACCCAGATGACATTAGATGTACAGTCACTGTTCACCACAGCTTGTATATTACTTCTCTGTGTATTCAGATCTGTAGTGAGGGGATCTTTCACATTCAGATTTTACCATCCAGGGTGCATACCAGTTGCTAAAACATTACCTTTATATAATTCCTCTTTGTTTCCCAGTATGGAGTTACCTCATTTACCATGCAAAGAGGTCTTTATGCACATCTGCTATATTTAAAAGTTGTGGCTAACCCTTGTGGACTAATTTGAATAAATGGATATAACTATATACACAGTATTTGGATGCTAGATACAAGTATGAAGGCTCTGAACTATGTATACATACATAGATAAAATATCTTGTTTGAGATAGTAAATGATAGTTCTATTAATTTGATTGTGTATAATGATTATTGGTTTTGAAAAATGTTATGTATCTATATTTTGGTATTGCTTTCATACCTTGAGTTATTTGTTTTAATTATTTATTTATTTTGGGGGTATCGGGGATTGGAACCCAGGTCCTTAATGCATGTCAGACAGGTGTTCTCCCACTGATCTACACCCATACATCCCCAGCCCCTTTTCTATTTTTTTATATTTTATTTATTTATTATGTATACAACATTCTGCTTCCATGTATATCTGCACACTAGAAGAGGGCACCAGATCTCATAATGGATGGTTGCGAGCCACCATGTGGTTGCTGGGGATTGAACTCGGGACCTCTGGAAGAACAGTCAGTGCTCTTAACCTCTGAGCCATCTCTCCAGCCCCTAAACATTTTTTTTCCGGTTTTTCGAGACAGGGATTCTCTGGGTAGCTTTGGAGCATATCCTGGCACTCGCTCTATAGACCAGGCTGGCCTCGAACTCACAGAGATCCTCCTGCCTCTGCCTCCCGAGTGCTGGGATTAAAGGCATGTGCCACCAACGCCCAGCCCAGCCCCTTTTCTAATGTCTCAAAAATCATAATTTATTCTTCCAAAGGCAATTTGATAATTCTCAGCAGCCAAATGTTAGTAGCAGCCAAGATGTTTTCTAAGGCAGTTTCCAGCTTGATCTTAAATCTTTTTTAAAAGTAAATCACATGATCTAATGATATGTGGGAAATAAAACTGAGCAACCCTGAAAAGTGTGGCGCTCTTGTAGGTGTGATGAGGGCAAATTACAGCACTCATGCAGAGACTCGTGTCACAGGCAGGCTGTGAGAGGCATCGTAATTAAAGCATCCTAAAAAGGCTTCTATTGGAAACATGCTGTTTTTACTTTTCTGCACTAATATTTACTGCTGCCTTTCCCACTAAAAAGCTTAAATTTAAAATGCTCCTCTGGCTTACATTGGTTTTGTAAATTAGGCTAGCACCTTCTGGGATCAACTCTTTACAAACATCCCTTCTCGTAGGAATGCTCTGTTCTGTTTTCAAGTCGCAGGGCTCCATCTTTTTCAAGGCCAGCTAGAGCAAGGCAAGGTTCTAAATTCTGTTACTGGGCATTTTGCTGCACACAATCCCTCTCAGAACATACAGGTACTTACACACACACACACACACACACACACACACACACACACACCTCCCCTATACATATACACAGAACAGTATATAAAGCTTAAATTACATATGAATACATAGTAAACATTTCTACTTTTGTTATTGTTTTGAGATAGTGTCTTACTCTGACAGCCTTGAACTCACTGTTCAAGGGGCTGGCAAGTTGATTAAGAGCTCTGCCTGCTCTTCCAGAGGACCTGGGTTTGACTCCTAGTCATTGGCCAAGTGGCAGCTTCCAACTGTGTGTAATTCCAGTTCCAGGGGATCTGATGCCCTTGTCTGGCTTCTGTGGGCATCAGGCATGCATGCAGTACATAGACATATAAGCAAGCAAAACATCCGTGCACATAAAATAAAAATAAGTAAATCTAAAGAATTTTGAAAGTCAGGGTTTTTGCATGAGTTCACACATGCACATATGGGCGCACACTGAAACTCACTCAATTGCACAGGTACACACACGCACAGGGTTGATAAGATTGAGGATGGTTGTTTTCTACGTCTCCCAATTTCATTACTCTGCACACACTCTGCCACAGAGTCAACCTCAGGTACAGATGGCGATGTTTTAGAAAGTCAGACAGTGCACACACTAAGCCCCACACTGTGAATGCTGTGGGGGTGTGGGGTTGTAGAGGACTGGGGCTTTTGACAGGCAGCTTGCTCTTCTACCTTTGACTTGTACACTGAGAAGTGTCTGAATCACTAGGCAGGTTTAATGAACTATTTGATTGAGACTTCATGTTTCTGCAATGTGTGTATGTTTCCTTAATTTCATATCATTTCAATAAAAGCAATAGCATTGTAAAATTCGTTATAAAAACTTGGAGAACTCCTGTGCATGTGTATTCATTGAGGTATGTCTATTTTAAGGAGTAAATGCTAGGTGTAGTGGCATATGCCTTTAATCCCACACTTGAAAGACAGAGCCAGGTGGATCCCTGTGAGTCTGAGGCCATCCTGATCTACATAGAAAGTTCCAGGACAGCCAGAGCTATAGAGAGAGACCCTGTCTCAAAAAGCAAAACTTAAAAAGTAATTAGCTGTTTCTCTTCTGGTCTTGATAGTATGTTATACTTTTTAGGAATAAAATTCACATGGACAGCCATAAACGAATGTGACAGATGACGCTTGGTGTAACTCATTGCCTGTGATGTGTTGTCTTGGGTCCCAGACCTGTTATGATAAATCTTTCAGCCAAAAGCCAGCGAGCCCCACCACCACATGTGCGCTTTACGCCAGCTGCCCACCAGAGTTAGGGCCCAAATGAATACACAGAGAGACTTGTATTAGGTTCAATGCTGCTTGGCCAATGACTAGGATTCCTCATCTGTTAGCTCAGTCTTAATTATCATAAATCTATATATTTTATAAGATTTATCTTATCAGACGCCTTATTGGCATCCCTCCTTGCTGGTGGATCACATTTCACAGCTGGAGGAGGAAGCAGAAAAAGTGGACCCTTCCTTTCTCCTTGGTTAAATATGAGTCTCCTTGTTATGTCACTTCCTGCCTGGATCACCTCTTCTCTACTACATTTCCCAGAATCCTCTTTGACTCCTAGTCCTGTCTAACTTGCTGTCTCATTGGCCAAACAAGTACTTTATTCAATAATCAACAAGATAAATATACAAAGAAGTACATTCCCCATCACAGCCCCCACAGGGTCTCTGAGTTGCTTGTCAGCCAATAACCACAGATACATCCTGCATTCTAGTCGTAGCTTACAGCCCCGGCCTTGCCCCACTACCCCTGGGAAAACGGCAGACGAATAAAGATGGAAAGACGCACATAGCACAAGTGGCCAGATGTCTCTGCTTTTAACTAAATCTCCAGGCTTTCACCCGATACTCAGATTTAGTCGAGGCACAGACACCACAGTGTTGAATACCTGGTGTCTTAGTCACTGTTCTATTACTGTGAAGAGACACCATGACCAAGGCAACTTGTAAAAGAGCGTTGCTCACAGTGTCAGAAGGTTAGACCATGATCATCTTGGTGGGACACACAGTGGCAGGCAGGCATGGCGCTGGAGCAGTAGATGAGAACTTAAACCTGATCTATCTACAAGATGGAGGCAGTTAGAGACTGGGCCTGGCTTTTGAAACCTCAAAGCCCAACCCCCAGTGACACACCAATAAGGCCGCATCTACCCCAGCAAGGCCACACTCCTAGTCCTTTTTAAACAGTTTCACCAACTACCCACCAAGCATTTATCTATGAGCCTATTGAGACATTTTTATTCGAACCACCACACCCAGCCTCTGTAGGGCACACCTACAAAGTTCACACATCACCATGCCTGTGCTATAAGCCGACAAAGACTCTTCTGTCTTTTAGCTTTCCCATTGTGTGTGTGTGTGTGTGTTTAAAGACAATCTTTTTTACAGGTTTTATATATGAAACTGTGTGGAAATTCAAAATACTACCAAGCCCTCCACTATGGAACAGTGATGCCACCTGATGGTAAGTTTTCCTATCACTTCTTTGATTTATGGACTAACTTATTTTCATCCTTCCAAATAAAGTGGGAGATACGGTCTTGAGCTGACCAGACTGCCCGCCCTACCTCCGGGTTGCATTCGGTTTCTTGCCCTTCTGTTAGTATGCCATCCCCGGTGATGCCTTTTAGCAAACTTTACCAAGTAACCTAAGGAAGATGAGCGAGTTTCTGCTCTCAGAATCTGAACACGTTACCTGTGAAGACACTGCACAGATGATTATGGTGTCAAGCCGGAGAAGCTACAGCAAACTGTTAGAGCACAGTGGGCCTGTACTGTGTGTAATGCAAACTGTGGCACAGTGCAGATGCCATATGAGTGATACAGATTTTATAAGGATTCCCAGATTTATGCATAACGTGTATAAGCATAAGCGTTCCATTACTTTACCTTACAATGGGGGTGGGAGGGGATGCCTCTCCCAGTCACCATAGGATATCTATCAATCTCAGACCAGTGCTGGGCATGAGTCACAGGTTTTTGAACCGTTGGTCAATGGTATGGCATACATAGATCTGCCCCCTACCACTGCCATTATAGGCCATTGCCATTGCTCTTGGCTACCCTCTAGACCCTACTGCCGAAGACACAACATACTTGAGTCACAAGACATGGAGAAATGAAGCTGATACTGAACTGAAAGCTTCATCTCTCCTGGCTGGCCAGAAGGTTCTGTTTACAGACAAGAGAAAATTTACCACTGATCTGGCAGTATATGCTCAGTGGTAGAGAGTGGCAGGAATGTTATGGGGATATAACCACTCATTTTCCAATTAGGTTTAAAGCCTACCCCATGGGCCAGTGACCTAGTCAACCATGTTTTGTTGTTGTTGTTATTTGTTTGTTTTTTGTTTTGCTATTATTTTGTTTTGAGACATCTCACTATGTAGCCTTGGCTATTCAGCAACTCACTATATAGACTAGGCCAGCCTCAAACTCACAGCAATCCAACTTCTATCCTCCCACTTTTTTTCCTGTTTGTTTCTGCTTGTTTTGTTTGTTTGTTTTTGTTTTTCAAGACAGCGTTTCTCTGTGTTGCTTTGGAGCCTGTTCTAGAACTCGATCTATAGACCAGGCTGATCTCGAACACAAACAGCTCTGCCTGCCTCTGCTTTCCAAGTGCTGGGATTAAAAGTGTGTGCCACACCACTGCCTGGCTCCGTATTTTCTCTTATCTCATTTACAAATATTTATTTTATGTGTACGTGTGTGTTACAGAGTGTACGTATTTGCACCCACCATGTACATGCAGGAGTCCACAGAGATCAAAAGAGTCATTGGCTGTCCTGAAACTGGAGCTGCAGACCATGTGAGCTGTCTTGAGGGCACAGGGAACCGAACCTGGGCCATAGACAGAAGTAGCCAGTGTTTTTACCCACTGAGCCATCTCTCTAGCTCTGATACATTCTTGTATTTTAAAGTTTTAAGGTTATAACCTATGTGTTCATATTTTACTACATTTTTGTCTTAACAGAAATAACAGTTAATTATAGACATGGTCTTCCCTTGGTAACACTCACTCTGCCATCCAGAAAGGAGCGCTGTCAGTTTGTAGTCAAGCCAATGTTGTCAACAGTAGGCTCGTTCCTTCAGGACTTACAAAATGAAGATAAAGGCATCAAAACTGCGGCCATCATCACAGCAGGTGAGTATCTGTGCATCGTAGAACTTTACCTCCAGCCTGCTGGCTCTTCCCGTCCACACAGGTGTTTTGGTTCTTTACTCTCCTAAAAAGAATGTCATTATATAGTAAATTAAATCATCCATTATATGACCAATGGCTAGCCCTTGTGGAGCTCTTCCTTTTTACATACTGGTACTATTAAAATAATAGCTCAAGGCCAGCACAGTAGTGCATGCCTACAGCACAGTGGTGCACGCCTAGAATCCCAGCACAGGAGAAGCTGAGACAGGAAGGGTGAGAGTTCAAACCTTGGCTGGGCTATGTACTGAGACAACATAATACAAAACAAACAGAAAGAAGAGTCCTAATTCTATTACATAGAAGAAGATGGAATAAGTTTAGTGTAAATTTCAGTTACTCATTTTATAAACAACCAGAGATTTTTTTATTATGAAAAATAAATTAATATAATGGCATTAGTGTATAATTTTCAGCAAACTTTGAATAATTGGGAATAAAATATATTTTCTATAATTAAAATAGCCAGTAGAAAACACAGAGATAGTAAATTAAGCTTTATTATAAAGCAATTACAATTATGGATTGTTTTCATAGAATCAGTTCTTAGGAAAAATATACATATGCCATGATAACACAAAATCCATATCATATGCCTAAATACCTAAATGATTAGCTACCTCTCCTGATATTAAAAATATATATTTTCCTAAGAACGTCCCCTAAAATTGCATAAGGAATTACTTAGCTCAATATTTAAAGGCCATTGGTAAATATACATCAATAAATTATCATTGTTCGTTTATTGTTTTGAAAGTTCTATGTCATCTTATTTAAAAGTTGATGATTACTGTCATAGTTTTGAAAAGGAAATAAGCAGGGGCTGGGAAATGACTCAGTGGTGAAGAGTGGCGTTCTAACACCCACAATGAGCAGCACACAAGCCTTGTAACTCCACCTCCAGGGCATCAACCGCTCTCTCCTGGCCTGCACAGGCATTGCAGTTATATGCATAAACCCACACAAAACACATATGCACATAGTTAAAAATAAAAATTAAAACTAAAAAAGAAAGAAAAATAAACGGTTTTCCCCCTAACCAAGCTAAGAAACAACTAAGGGATAGATACAGAAATTAGAAACACAGAGATTAAAGAGTTTATTTATCCAACAAATATGTGTTGCCCATCTAATATACCAGGCCTTATGGTAGATGCTAGAGACAGAGCAAAGAACCAGAGAGAGAAAAGCTCCTGCCCTTTCATTTTTAGGAGGAAAAAGAAACCAAACAAAGTGATAATTATGAGGTACGTTAACTAGTAAACGCTAACGGAGGAAAGCAGGGTAAGGAACATGGGTGAGTCTCCAAGGCCACATCTGAGTAAAGATCTAGACAAGATGAGAAGACCCTGGAGAAGATGGGGGGGTGGGGACCTGGAGGAGACAATGGGGCTTGGAGTTAACAAGAGAGACCTGGAGTCTCCCAGCACTTGGGAGGCAGAGACAGGCAGATCTGTGTGAGTTCAAGGCCAGCCTGGTCTACTGAGTGAGTTCCAGGACAGCCAGGGCTACACAGAGAAAGCCTGTCTCAAAAAACCAAGAGAGAGGGCCAGGGCAGGAAACTTGGAGGAGATGATGGGGACTTGGAGTTCGTGAGAAGAACCAGGAAGAGACGATGGGGGCCTGGAGTTAATGAGAGGGACCTGGAGGAGATGATGGGGGCTTGGAGTTGATAAGAGGGACCTGGAAAAGATGGGAGGGTCTTGCAGTTCCTAGGAACTCAGGAGGCAGAGCCTTGTGTTGGGAGTAGACTCCCAAAGGAGGCAGTGGGGATGGAGGAGGGGAATTATCACAGGTGAGGGGAGCAGTTGAGAAGTGCTAGAGGGTTATTGTAAGGACTTGAAGAAGAGCTTTCTTCCTGCTTTGTGGCTACAAGGGGCATCTAAATAACTCAGACCCAGAAGCAGTGGGAATCCAGGGGACTTCCTGCCAGCCCTAGGAATCCAGTCATAGTCAAATACAGATAGCACTCAGGTGGGGTTAGATTGAGGAGCCCCTCCACGTAAGAATTCAGCCTTTGGTGAGTGAAAAGAGGTGGGGAAATTGGTTGATAAAAACAGATGATGTTTCCCTTGCTTTTTCCACCAAACTTTAAAAACAGTACAAGGAAGCCAGAAAGTCAGAGGCTTTTTCTCTAAGGAAATTAGAAACGAGGCCCTTTGAGTTGAAGATTCTTTATTAAGGCTTTTAGTTGAAGTCATTGAATGTGAATTTTTTTTTTAAAGATTTTATTTATTTATTATGTATATAACATTCTGCTTCCATGAACACCAGAAGAGGGCACCAGATCTCATAAGGGATGGTTGTGAGCCATCATGTGGTTGCTGGGAATTGAACTCAGGACCTCTGGAAGAGCAGTTGGTGCTCTTAACCTCTAAGCCGTCTCTCCAGCTCCCAAATGTGAATTTTTAAATGACACTTTGGATGTCAGATAAGAATTCATTGTTCTACTGTTTTGCTGTTGTTTAAGAAAACAGGTCCGTGTGTGGAATTTGCCTGAGTTTACTTTGTACTTGAAAAGTGTGTTCTGAAACTGCCATAGCTCTATTATTTGCCAATTCCTGGCAACTTGGTCTCACCCCAGCTGAACAGGATTCCAAACAGCCAGATTCTTGTGACAGACCCAAGTGCAGACTTGACTGACTACCTCCTGGAATGGTAAAGCCATGGAGCCAGACAGGAGGCAGGCAGCCAGGCTTTTCTCCACTGTGCAAGCAGACTTCCCTGGGCATATTAGTTACTGTAGTTGAAACAGCTTTGGCTGAATATACAAGCAGAAACCTGGCCAGGAGGAAACACAGGCCCAGAACCTTCCAGAATGTGTTTCACATAATTGTGTGTGGGCTGTTCTGAGGAACAGAAAGGAATCCCTGCACAGCACAAGTTCTCCACTTACTGCCCAGTGACTTTGTTTTTTCAACACCTAGCCTACATTAAAGCCTTGTGGGTTTTGTGTTTTAAACAGGCTGTATGCCAAGTGGTGCAAAACACCTTGAGGCTAAAACTTTTCAGGAGACTTCCTCTTCCCTAGTCCCCACTTCCCTGGAATATTCCTAGGTGCTAAACCAAAATGTTGGAGGCTGGAAGATTCCTGAAATAGGAGGGTTTCTCAAACAGCTATAATTGGGAGCTTGAAGATTTGAGCACTAGGTCTTGGGATAAGTTTCTCCAACTATCAGGTGCAAAGCTAGACAGTAACTGGGAAATGCCTGCTGGACCTAGAGCTAATAGTGTTATCATGGTGGAAAGTGTAACTTCACTTTGAACCATCTATCATTGGCTATAGAGGAGTGAAAGACCTCAGAAAGAGGTACTTTCGTAGAAGGACCCAGGAATCAGCGAAACCACGAACTTGGATGCAAAAAGCAAGAGGCTTTATTAGTGGCGCGGGTACCCGGGGACTTAGCTTCTCTTAGGCCAAGCCCCGAGCCCAGGAAGAAGAGGTCCTTATATAGGAGAAAAAGCACAGTACAGAAGCGAAAAGGATAGTTACAGGGATTCTATTGGACAATTTAATGAGGTGCAAAGTTATTTTAAATCAGCACTTTCTCAAGGTCTAGTAGTCAGGCGAAACGGCCTTAGCTTTACTTATCTTCTTCCGCGTCCAGATGGCTGACCTTGGGTCGGAGCGTTCCCCTCGGGCGGGAGCGCGAGCCCCGCCAGGGTGAAGGCTTGGGAGGCAGCAGGCAGCAGGGACAGTGGGATGAAGGGGAAGCAGGGCGGCGGGAGCGCCCGGGGGCTCCCTGGCCTGTGTCCTTGGCCTTGGAGGCGGCTCCCCGCTCGAAGCTCCTGGACAAGCAGCATCGCTGCTCTGCCTCTCCCAGCTCAAGTTCCCCTTCCAGGCACCGCCCGCGCTGCACTCTCCAGCCCCTGGCCGCACCCTGGCCCTGCCCTGCTCCGTCCCCGCCGCGCTGCCCTCGGTCAACTGCTCCGGACTCCTACCCTACCCTGGGCGGCCCTTCTGGCTCAGCAGCCGCTGCGCACAGGGACGATCGGCCGGGTTACTTCGCCCCAGAAGCCGGGGGCCTGGGCGGCCCAGGGCGCGAGCCCGGGTGATGTCCCCTGCCCAGCATGCGCGCAGCGCCCCGTTTCCTCCTCGGCCAACTCTCCTCCCGCCCCCATCCTTCCCAGCCCATCCCGCCTGCTCCAGAGAGAACACCCAGCACCGGCACAGGCGGGGAAGACAGAGAGGCAGCGGGCAGGGGGCATGCAGAAGCATTCCGAGCGGGTCTTTCAGGAGAAGGTACCATAAGCCATGATGGGGTTAAGTCAGGGTGAGAGAACATTCAATTATATGAACATCTGGTGTTGGCTTTATTACTGGTGGATTAAGGATGAAGACATCTGAAGAGACCAGACTGAGACATCTACCCTATGTTTCTAGAACGTGGATCCTCAGAGGATGAATTCAGAGATCAGGCAAGGTCAGGGGTTAGGGAGAAGTTCCAGGAAGGACACACTCAGGAGGGTAGGTGGACTTACAGAGTCACACAGGTTTAGTCTTTGAGGAGATTTGACAAGAAGTAATTTGTCATGTCTGGTTGTAAGATAGAAGTTCGATCATGAGGTCTCAAGTTTCTTTAATGATAAAGCCAGGTTTGCTGATTCTACAGTTAGATACTATGTGGCTTACGGTCTCAAGTTTTTGTTTTAAAACTATTCCCCCCCTTTTTTTTTCAATTTAAACCCCTTCTTGTATCTTGACCAGTCCCTATTTCAATTTTACCTATAGCTGTTAACTGATTGACTTCATTTCCTGCCCTCTCAAATAGCTCTTGTAATGCAATCTTTTATCTCTGAGATATTTGAAATTGCTATTAGATTCTCTTCATGGTCTCCATTCATTCTCATAAAACAGATCACACAACTATAATTTAATTTTTAGACTTAAGCAAGTCTATTTTTTTTCTCTCTGCCACCCAATCTCCTTGTAGTTTTGCCTCCTTCTTCCATGCTGAAAAGGAGCTATGAGCCAGTGCAGTGATTAACAATTTTGGGTGCTATTGGGCTGTGGTAGTTTGAATTTAATTGGTTTCCATAATCCCATTAAAGTAGCACTATTAGGGGGTGTGGATTTTTTGGGGTGGGGATGGCCTTGTTGGAGGAATTGTGTCACTGAAGGGTGGGCATTGAGGTTTCCTACGTTCAGGATAACGCCCAGTGTTCAGTTGCCTTCTGATCAAGATGTAGGCAGCACCATGTCTGCGTGCTCCCTGCCATGGTGATCATGGAATAACCCTCTGAAACTGTAAGCAAGTCCCCCAATTAAATGGTTTCTTTTAAACGTTTCCATGGTCACGGTATCTCCTCACAGCAAGAGAACAGTAACTAAGGCAACATATATGTGAGGCATTTTCTTGATTAATGATTGGTGTGGAAGGGCCCAGCCCACTTAGGTGGTGCCACCTTAGGCAGGTGGTCCTGGATTGTACAAGAAAGCAAGGTGAAGGAGCCAGGAAGAACAAGCCAGTAGGCAGTGTTCCTCTATGGTCTCTGCTTGGGTTCCTGCCTTGGCTTTCCTCTATGTAGACTATAACCTATATGCCAAATAAGCCCTTTCCTCCAAAAGTCCAAAGGTTTTTCACAGCAACAGAAACCTAACTGGGACATGCCCTATCTCAAAGAAGGAAAAAAATAAATCTCCAATGAGTCAGACAAAGGTTTACATAGTAGTTTAAGTACTACTATGTAAGTAAGTACTACATAGTAGTACTACATAGTACAAAGGTTTACATAGTAGTCCCATCTAAACCAGAGTGGGCCTGGTTCGTCTCAAGACAATCTCAAGGATTCCAGGACATTCCTGGCCCTGACAGCTGCCAGGGCTCTGGTCCTCACATTCCACCTTCCCTGCTGATGGGTTTGTCTGCTTGAAGCATACAGTGAGAAACAACACAGGGCAAAAGCTCAGGCCTGCTAAGGGCCATCATGAAGGTTGCAGCTCAAGATGGCTTCAAGGTTAACCTAGACAGTGCTGTCTCCATGGGCCTGACCTTGCTGTGGAATTTGTTCCTCCCTAAACCTTTGTAGACCATTTTAGCCACAGGCATTGGTCTGGGTTCCAGTCCATTTGGCCCAGGGGGAGAGGAGCACCTCTTGTTACATACGTTCCAGAAGAATGAGAAGTCAGAAAGCACTGGAAAAAACTCCCCTGGTGAGAAAGGGGAGCCACCTAGACGGCAAATGTCTATGACTGCATCCTGCAAACCCAAGTCTGGGTTTTTACATGTTGGGACACGCCACCCACTGCTTCAAAGCAAACATGGTTCTGTATTGTTTTTTCAGATGGCAGTGAGATTCCAGCTTCAACGCTGATGGACACTTTGCTAATGAAAGGTTTTAAACTGGTCATTAACAAACTAGCCTATGATGTTCAGTGTCACAAGAAAGGTAAGCAATGGCCCTCCAGCCATCCTAACTTTTCTTTAGTGGGGACTTCTACAGGGAGCAAAACAACTTAGTTTTGCTTTGAGAACAGTTGCTTGAGATATTACAGAATGGCCATTTTTCTAACTGGAAGCAGGAGGGTGATTTCCCCTGATTTTTACCCTGGCAACTGGGTAGAGCTCTCGAAGGTATAGGCATGATACCTGAACCCCCTGGGGTTTCCAGATCTCAAGTGTTTCATATAAGGGGCCTCCAGCAAGTTTTCAAAGACAGTGCAGGCAAGTTGTGATTCTCAGCCACTCTCCTCAACTTTGGGGGCCATGGTTTGCCCTGTGACCTCAGTCTCCCATCCAACTAGTAACCAGGATTGACCCTACTTAGCTTCCAAGATCAGACCAAACTGCAAACAGTCAAGGTAGTATGGCTGCAGACTGTGCTCAGCCCTTACAGCTCTCAGGTGAGTTCTTGACCATCAGTTTGCTTCCCTTTTTATTTGCTTTAAGAAGGAACAGAGACTTTCAGGCTCATGTGCCAGATCTGAAACTAGAAGGCTCACCTCCTTAAAAAATTTGCTTTTAATTTCAAATTTCGGGTTGAACAATCATAAACAGAAAATCAGAAACCCAGAACTTTTGGAATGTTGGTATAACACATGTGGAAAATTCCACACTAGAGTCTTTGTGATGGATTGTAGTCAGAGTGCAGATGTGTGGAGGGTGTGGGTACACCAAGAGACAGTGTTTGCTTAGCATAATTATGTACATATTATACATATGATAAAGTCACCTTCAGTCTATGTATCTAAGATATATTTAGTAAATGTTGTGTCTACCTGGGTCCCATCCCTGATGGGGGAAATACTTTTGTGTATGTTTATAAATAAAGTACTTGCTTGGCCAATGAGACAACAGGTTAGGCTGGACTAGGAGTCAAAAAGGATTCTGGGAAATGTAGTAGAGAAGTGGTGTTCCAGAGAGGAAGTGACATAGCAAGGAGACTCATATTTAAGAAGAGGAAAAGGAAGTGTTGTGCTCTTTTCCCCTTGGCTCCTGCTCTAGCGGCACGATGTGATCCACCAGCTAGGAGGGACGCCAATAAGGTGTCCGATAAATAAGTCTTATAAAATATATAGATGTAGGATAATTAAGACTGAGCTAACAGATGAGAATCCTAGTCATTGGCCAAGCAACATTGTAACTAATACAAGTCTCTCTGTGTATTCATTTGGGGCTAACTCTGGCGGGCGGCTGGCGTAAAGCTCACACGTGGTGGTGGGGCTCAGGCAGCTTTTGGCAAAAACATTTATCGTAACACATCCCATTACACACAGAATCCAAAATCTGAAACACATGTAAAATCTGAAATAAATATGTGGTCTCAAGCATTTGGGATAGAGATGTTCAACCGGAAACATTTTCAACATTGGCGATTTGCTTCTGACATTTCTATTATCGAACTCCACATATTGCCTCTGTCCCCTTCTTTCTTCTGCACATGGTGTTCCCAGCATGGAGACATTTTGCCTAAGAATACAGTTCTTAGGTATTCTTTTAACTCTCCCCTCTCTTTCTCTTTATTTTCAGCTTTGGGGGGTTTCTTTAGGTGGATCTTCAAGCTCACAGATTCTTGCCTCCCCAGTGTCATCTTGATGGGAGCCCATGGGAGACAGTGTCTCTGGGGTGGGGTGGATTTTATTTCTAGTGTTCTTAGCATTTCCATCTCTCTATTCACTATGTTGTTGGATGCTGCTCACCTTATCCATTAGCGCAGCGGTTCTCAACCTTCCTAACGCTGCTATCCTGTAATACAGTTCTTCATGCTGTGCTCACCTCCAACCATATGGCCATTTTTATTGCTACTTCATAACTGTAATTTTGCTGCTGCTATGAATTGTAATGTGTGTGTTTTCTGATGGCCATAAGCCACCCTGTGAAAGGGACATTGAGAACCACTGGATTAGAGGCTTCATGACATTAATCAGTTTTTTAGAAAATGTACACTAGTTTTGTCAGCTTGGAACTGAAGGAACCAGCTTCCCTTTTGGCAGCCATAACAGCCAAACACATGCTTGCCATAAACCTGCCTTGGTCACTTAGAGGTCAGATGCCTGTCTCGTGACAAGGAACCAATCAGAAGTTAGCTGGTGGCGCTATGCTTTACGACCCTGGGTGTGCTTTACGGACAAGCACACAGCAATGACGTAGAGAACATAGCAACCACCCTGGGAGGGCCTATG